TTGATCTCTAGTTTCAAAGCATTATGATCAGAGAATATGGTTGGTATGATTTCAACCCTCTTATATTTGTTGAAGCTATCTCTGTGTCCCAGTATGTAGTCAGTTCTTGAAAATGTTCCTTGTGTACTAGAGAAGAATGTATAGTAGCCTTTTTGGGACAGAAGGCTCTGTATATGTCAATTATGTCCAGTTGGTCCAATGTGTCATTTAAGGATGTTATTTCTTTATTGATTTTCTGTTTGGATGATCTGTCCATATCTGACAGTAGGGCATTTAGGTCCCCTGCTACAATAGTGTTTTGGTTTTTTTCTCCTTTTAGTTCTGATAGTAATTGCTTTATATATTTCGGGGCTCCCTTATTGGGAGCATCGATATTAATAAGTGTTATGTCCTCTTCGTGCATGATTGCTTTCATCATTATGAAGTGTCCCTCAGTATCTTTCTATACCTTTTTTATTTTGAAGTCTATTTTGTCCGATATTAGTACCACTACTCTCGCTTTTTTCTGAATGCCATTTGCTTGAGTTATCATTTTCCACCTTGAGTCGATATTTGTGTTTGGAACTGAGATGTGTCTGCCGAAGGCAGCAGCATATGGTTGGATTTTGTTTGTTGATCCATTGTGCAACTCTGTGCCTTTTTATTGGTGAGTTCAGTCCATTTACATTTAGGGTGATTATTGAAATATGGGGTCTTATAGCCATTTTATCTTTTGCTTTCTGGTAGCTCGGTGTTCCCATTGCTTCCTTGTCCTTGTGCTTCTGTTATCTTTATTTTGGTTGGGTTTTGTGTGTTTTCCCTCTTGTTCTTGTTTTATGTTATATACTTCAGTTCTGATTCTTGGTTGTGTGGTTACCATTAAGAATACATAAAGGATTGTTATATATATACAGTTGTCCCTTACCTTCTGCGCATGCCTTATCTCCATTCCCATTTTCGAATTTGGATCTTTGAATTCCCCCCGCCCTTTTCAGTCATTATTATCTCAATTTGTCCCTATGTATGCTGAACATTCATTACTATCTTGCTATAGCAATTCTCTTATTATTATTTAAGCTTATAATGCCCTGTTCTTAGTAAAGGTTGCACTCCTCTGTTTCCGTTTGCCTGATAGTCACTTTACTCTTAATTAAGTGTTCTGTTTTGTTTTGGTCATTTTGTTTTAGGGGAGCTGACCCCTTTCAGTATTTCCTCAATTTTTGTATGTCTAGAAAGGTCTTAATTTCTCCTTTACATCTAATGGAGAGCTTAGCTGGACTCATTACTCTAGGCTGGTATAAACTGAAATTTTAAATAGTAAATATTATAGTCAGTATGCATGGTTATCAGTATGCTATCTGACTAAAGCACCCTCCTAATGTATCACATGCCATCTTTTCCTTCTTCCCAGTTTTTTGTTATGAAATTAGGAATTCCTTAAAGCGGTATTTAATGTGTTTCTTAAGAGTCAGTCTTTTTTTCCTTACAATAATGTAGCAAGTAGAAAGCTAGGAATGAATATACCAAGGTTGCTCTAGGCAGAAATGCCTTGTTTTAGGAAATAATTCTTTTACCTTCTTGCATCTAATCGTCCATGTATGTGTCATACTCTCTTAGGTGTGGCGAAAATGCAGCATACGGATCTTCACAGTAGCCCAACTAGAGGACAACAGTATTCAGATGAAGAAGGACCTGGCTACCTTCCTGTATCACCTGCGCATTGAAGCGGAGGTGGAAGTGGTGGAGATGGTGAGAAAGCTCAATTTCAGAACAAAGAGACCACCCTTCCCCCATCTTGTCTTCCTAGGACTTTTTCTGATTTGGGAAATTCTTTGGCTGCAAATATGGATTAATCCCTTAGTTCTAACCATCCCTAATATATTGATATAGATAAGTAGAGTGTGTATGTGAAATATATTTGGTGGTTTTTTTTATTTTTGCTTTCTTCTTTGTTACACAGGCCTGTATTTCTGCCAGATTTTTGTCTGCTTAATATAATTTAAGTTTTCATTCATACATTCATGCTAAAATCACACATAACTTTTTTCATAACCTGGCAGTATTTAAAAGAAAAATTGGGGTTATGTTTTGTGTTTTAAGGAAATAACATATATAATGGTTAGATTATGGAAAAGACTCACGGAGCTTTTGAATTTGATGTACAATCCACAATATTGTGTTTATGTAGCTCAGTGACTGAACAAAATAGGAGTGAAACTTAGGTTGATATTGTGATACTTTCTCTGGTTTAATTTAGTGAGTAGAAACGAGTATGTATGGTTCATCCTTCTTTCTCCTTTGTACTTATTGCCCACTCTGTGATATATGCGGCAGCATGACAGTGACATATCAGCTTATACTTATGAACGCACTCTGATGATGGAACAAAGGTCTCAGATGCTCCGGCACATGCGGCTATCCAAAACAGAGCGGGACAGAGAGGTGAGACCTTGCTGCATTGATCTAATCCTGGCCCTATAAAATCTGTCACTAAAAGAGATGAATGATATTGTATTGTTCTCCTAAGATGACAAATTCTTCCCTTCTAGTTTTATTAGTTATTACACTATAATTACATTATTGTTTCAAAAATAATTGAAAGATGAAGCATAAGAGAAAATTAGGTAGAGTCACAGCTGTGTTGGGCCTTCCTCAGGCACAGTTGGTGAAAGACCGAAACTCAATGCTACGATTGACCAGCATTGGCTCTGATGAGGATGAAGAGACAGAAACCTATCAGGAGAAAGTGCACATGACTTGGACAAAAGACAAGTACATGGCATCCCGGGGGCAAAAGGCTAAGTCAATGGAAGGATTTCAGGACCTGCTTAATATGCGTCCGTAAGTTTTCCAACTCACAATTTTATCACATAACATATTATCCTAGTCAGTGCCACAGGGGTGACTTTGCCTGGATACACAGGATGGAATCTGTTCTTCATTTCCCCCAATTCCAACCATCTCTGTATTGTTTGCATATGCATATCAGCTACAAGTTAACATTGTATACAGGCTAACCATCCTTCTTCTCTTACTGTGCTTCTGGTGTAAAACAAACATAGAATGAGAAAAGCCAAGATATTAATATTATAGGGAAATCATTTTGTTCATATATTATTCATATTCAAAGCAAAAAAGTTCTGTATCTCAAGTTTTTTTGAAGTTGACTATATGCCTAGTTTTCTCTTGCCTTACCACCTTCTTCCCCCTCTCCCCATTTCTTCCCAGGGACCAGTCCAATGTGAGGCGGATGCATACAGCAGTGAAGCTCAATGAGGTCATAGTTAACAAGTCCCATGAAGCAAAGCTGGTTTTATTGAATATGCCAGGGCCACCCCGAAACCCTGAGGGTGATGAAAACTGTATCCTTTCCAAGAGTGGTGCTACCAGTAGGGAAAATCTTAGCTTCTTTTTTAGATGAGACCACTAGGTAACTATAAAAGTCATTGTCTGTGCCCACATTTTCCTCTTGCTAAGAGAAGACTTTTAAAGGTCTTAAGCAAAGATTCTTATAAAAACATGAGATTAATTTCCTTTTGGGGAGTTGGAGGTGTCATATATGTTCTCTGAACCTCAGAGAGACTTTTTAGGTATGTTTGCAACATGACTTATAATATTCAATGTTTTAGAACCCTTTCTGACAATCCCTAGAGATGAAATACCTACATCTTTTCTCCTTTTCAGGCTCTACCCACTTGCAAAAGCCTCTTTCTTTTGGATGGAGTTAGGGGAGAAGCAGTTGAAGTGGAAACTCCTCTGAGGGCTAAAAAAAGAGATGTTCTTTCTCATACTCTGATCCCAGGATTGTTTTTATGGGACCCTTTCAGCACTGCAATGGCATAGACTGTCCCATTCCCTCCAGTACCATTAAGGAAAAGAGGTTAAAAGAGAAAAGAAAAAATGAGCTGGCAGAAAAATCTGACTTGAGCAGCTTCACTTAGAAATTACTTGGGTTCTTTCTAGGAGTCTTACAGGCTGCCCTATTGTGGCTATTCTTTTTTAGCTTGTTTTGCTACAAAATTACTTGTGGGTTTTCCAATTTTAAAGAAAAAAATTTAAAAATCTAAATGAGAAAGAGTCTTATGTGTGCAAAGAGACTATATTCCTGGGTTACTTCACAGGGTTAAATTGAATCCAAAGTTCAGTCTTCCAGTTCAGAATATATAATAATTAAAACAAGCATGTTGATTTTACAGCTTCATAATCAGATAAACTGTGATTAGCATACCAGGTAATAAAGTGTGATCTTCTGCCTGTTTCCTTGACAAATTCTGAAGACATGGAATTCCTAGAAGTGCTCACCGAGGGACTAGAGCGAGTCCTTCTTGTCCGAGGTGGTGGCAGTGAAGTGATCACCATTTATTCATAATCTAGTTCTGAATGACCCTGCTTGGCTTCATCTTTCCTAAATGGCTCCATCCTCCATGAAAATGACAGCTCTTTAGTACCACTCCCACCAACTAGAGGCCCGTGTTCTGTACACATCACACTGAACTCCTGATGAGCTGAGCTTCAAGTACCTGTGCAAAAAAGTACAAATAGATCTGCTCTTTTTTCCTATATGATTTTCTGTCCTTACAGAAGAAGCGAATGTTCCCTCAACATAACAGTGGTCAAGTCCTAAAGCCATGTCTGAACCAGTTGAAGGCAAGTTAGAATTAACAAGCTAAACCAATAAAATGAATGGGCAGAAGGATGCTACAAATTCATCTAAAGACAAAAAGCAAGTACATATCTAACATTAAAGATGAGTCCCAGAAGTCATGGTTCATTTTTTGAGACCATGAGGTAACAAAGAAACGGCCTCATCATACTAAGGAATTCGTGACCAACTAAATGAAGACCTAACATCCTGGTGAAAATAACCTGTGGCAAGCCAAGATGAATTATCAAGAGATAATTCTCTTGAGTGTATCCACTACTCTTCAGGACTCTTAATTTTATATTAGAGTACTATTATACAAAAACTGAAGCATGGTTGCAGTCTCTACTACTTCCTCCAAATCAAGATTTCCCCAAAAATGCCAGATTTAAGTACACATAGTACATTGGTATGTATTTCAGTTGTTTCTCAAAACCCACTCTGTGGTTAAGACTGAAATATAGGAAGTGTTACCATGGAAATTGTTTTTAAAAGGTGGAGTAAAAAAAAATTTTCAGATTCTTTTCAAATGGCCAAACTAAGGAAACTCCAAAAGGCAGCTATTAAGATTTACTGAAATATAGTCTGGTTACATACATCACATGGGCAAAACTTACAAGCTGTTATCTAGGAAATGCACATTGGTGATGCACATTGACCAGAAGGTTCACCTTTCCTTCTCCCTTTTATGCCCTCTGGGTTAGTAGGCACAGGTCAAAAATCAGAGGAAGACTGGCTAAAATCCTTCCTTGAAAGCTTTCTACTATCTTTTAAAGAGGGATTCAGCGATGGAATTTGAAGTTCTAGAGCCATATTCCTTCCATAGTGCCAAAGTTATTGCGCTGCTGCTACTCTGCTTACCTTCTTCAGTGAAGTGGTGTACAATTGGCATTGGCTTGATTCAAGAAACTTTTTTAAGAAACCTGTGGACTCATTTCTAAAGCCATAGTGAAGACTTGAGGCACTCACCTAAATGCCGAGTATGACCATTTTCCTTTCTCCTTTCAATTCTTCATTCTGACCGCAGAAACTTGGCTTTAAACCAAGAAATTATCCAAGTCAACAGCCTTCTACTATTTGTTTTGTTTTAGCTCTGTGTCAAGGAAATATTTGTGCAAGCTTAGCTTTTTATTTGCTTATTGACTGACCACAAAGCACCTGGCTTTCAAGCATAGAGAAATTACCCTGTGACTTAAGAGATTGCAGATATGTGAAATTACTTTTCAGGTTAGGTTATTTAGAGATACTATCTTGCCTGTGTTCATACCTGCTTTTGAATTTCAATTAATGATTAATAGTGCCACTTTTTTGATTACTCAATAAGAAATGGAGCAAGCTGACCTAGGTGCCAGCTGACTATTTTCTCTGGAGAGAAAACCCTTCAGTATGGCTTAAGAAATTGAGTCGTTTCAAGTTATTCCCTTTTGCTCTTCTTTCAACCTCCAGGCCGAGTCAGGGTAGCAAAGCAGACAGAATCTTTATGTCTTTTATTCTGCTCCTTCCTGCAGAGGGTAGAAGCATCGTTTACAATTTCCATTGCAACACTCTATTGCTTAGTTGAATCCAGCAATAATGGGACAGGTCAACCAAGACCCAAGATATTGAAGATCCATGCTCTAAAGGTCAGCCTACCCAGGAATTCCTCTATATATACACATACCCTCTGGGCAAAGTGATATTTATATATATTTTTTCCAGATAGAAAAAATACGGGCAGAAATTAAGGTTAGTTTTAAGAGTTTTTGTTTGTGTGGTTGGAACTCCAAAAGAATCTTTTAAAGGGATAAGGGAATTCGTGGCTATTAATATAGGCACTAATTCAACCCCTACAACACAAAATCACTGTTACATGGGAAAATGGTTATTAGGCCAGATTTAAACTCATCTCTGTCTAGAGCATTTCATGTCTATGTGTTGCTTATGTTGTTTGTCTGCAAAGTGTTTTGTCTCTTTTAATCACTGCAAATAAAGCAATACCGAAAACTTGATAAGAATGCACCTTAGGGGAAGGGGTTTTGTGTTTTAAGAAGTAAGAGAAAGGAAGGACTTCTTCCTGGCTTTGAATAAGATCCAGCTTTTAAGTCTTAGCTATGACTACCAGGGCAGGATATGATAACATACATTCTCCAATTGCTGGCCCTCTGCCTTCTATTGCTATCTTAAAAGCTGAAGTTTGAACTGCAGCATTTGCTTGAAAGGTACCAGGTTCCTCTTGGCAGGGGAAAGATCACTACTTTGTATCTTCCATTGCCTCGGATTCCTGTGGCCCCAACAATTCCTCCAATCCTCATTCCCCCAAACATGTTAAAAATCCATTATTGTGGATATTAAAGTAGCAATTACACTGTAAACATATTTATGTGCACTTTTTGTCTGGTTTAATTTTCTTTTCATCATGTATAATCAGAATCCAGCATTAGTTTCTCACATCTTCCACAAGTGTCTCCAACAAAATTTTTGTCCCAGCTTGTGTTAATTAGAACATTAAGGATAATAGATTTAAGGGAAACTTGTAAAACTTTTTTTAAGCATTGTTCTTGACCATTTAATTTATTAAAAGGAGATGCTGCTGTGGTTCTTGATTTAGCAGCAACCATTCTTTTGTTTACATAGAGTTATGATTTTATTTGTTGTTTTGCTGTATACTGGAAACATAAATAAAGTTTTCTACATTATTTTCAGTCAAAGATTGTAGTATAGTTTCTTCTTGTTTGTAGTGATATGCACATTGTCTTTCTAGGATGTGTCTCCTCACCATGGTGAAGAGCACTTTTGGTTCTTTTCAGCATGAGTGATAATGTTAGGGGTAAACATGCTGAAGAGGAGCCACTGGGTGTAAAGAAGGTTGTAAATGAGATCCAAATACATAGGCACTGGGTGCTGCTTTCTCAGGTTCACAGAAGCAGCCCTCCACCACTAAACTCCATCCTCTGAAACAAGAAAAAGTAAATAGGTGAGTGGGAATGAGTGCTGAAATAACTTCTTTAATCAAGTACTTAATACTTTAATCACAAGCTCTATTTTGTTTTATTCTTAAAAAAATAACTTCCTAATGGATGTGATTTGTTAAGAAATGAGCTCTAATACCAGTTCTAATTCCCCACCATCAAATGAGTCAGCTATTGACTGTACATTACAGCTGGCCCCAAATTTAACATTTCTTTTGCCTTACCTCAGGAGGCTCAATGAAGGCTAACCAATCTGATGCATGTGTAGGCAATAGTCCCATGGACTGGCACTTATAAACAGCCAATGCCAAACCCATAAGGTTCCCAATGAGATACACCAAACCCTGAAGAAACTTCTGGCTTGAACTTTCTAGCATCTTGAAAGCTGTTGGGGTAACAAAGTGTGAAAACCAAAACTTTTTCAACATGAATCAGGGCATATATTAAGATAACATAAATAATATAGACAGACCTATAGTAAAATAGCAAATAGGACTAAAAGTAAACCAAAACCATGATAAGCACTGTTTTCCCTTCCTTATCACCACCACTACCATTACCACCCTGCATACCCACCCCCTGCTACTAGACAAGAGCCATGCCAAAAATTTCCAATATGAGTTTTGCCTAAGAATTTGCCCTTAATTCTTAAACTCTGAGAAGGGTTATTATTTCAAGAATACTTACTGGCTGAAATGGCCATAAGTGCCTGAATGGGTCGCCAAGCCATCATACACACCATCATAGTGGGGAAGATGGAGATAGTATTGCCTGCCATGTACATGATGAAAAGGTTCATCGGAATTTGTTTGAGGGGACCCAAGGCAATGTCCCAGCAGCGCTAAAACAAAGACAATTTTAATCTCTGGTCATTACCCTCAGTCCCACATTTATTGTACACTAATTAAAGTCGAATGCACACAATTATCAATTATCAATTCTTCTGGTCTCCATGTTGCCACAAGACTCTTGCTCTTCTACTAAAGATAAGGCACTCTCACAATGTATTATGTTTTTCTCCACAGCTTTTCCAGATGTCATTTGTCCCCATAATTTTAGCTAAAGACAGGTTTTCTCTGCTTTTGTCCTTGTACTTCATCTATCATTGTCTTAACAACTGAAGAAACAGATAAATCCACAGAGCAGATTAGCAGCATACCTCAATCAATAATAGTAATAGACAAATCAAGATAGACCTGAATGATATTAACAAGCTTAACCCCACTGACATATAGAACGGTGCACCCAACAGTTGCGGAATTACCAATCTTTTCAAACGTGAGATTTACTAAAACCACTTGCTGAGTCGTGAAAAAAGTGAGTTCTCTCAAAGAACTCAAATTATACAAAACGTTCTTTGATTACCATGCAATTAATCTAGAAGTAACAAAAAGATAACTGGAAAATCCCTACAAGTTGGAATTAATAAATGTACTCTAATCCATAAATTATAACAGAAAATATAAACATTTTTAACAAATACATATGAACACTGTAGGACAGAGCTTTGAGAAATTTATAACCTTAAATACATATAAGGCTAAAAATAAAGCATCTATTCCAAGAAGTTAGAAAAAGAACAAATTTAACTGAAATAAAAACGAGCAGAAATTAATGAAATTCTCTTTAAATCAACAAAGCTGAAGGCATTTTTTTTAAGACTAATAAAATCAATACAAGTGAGTATGATAAGGAAAAAAGAATGGAAGAAAATATTCAACATGAGGAATGAAAAAGGTACATCTCCATAGGTCTTGCAGCTATTAAAGAGATCATATGAATTTTAGGAAATGAATGAAATCCTAGCAAAAATACTAGTTACTAAATGGCATAAGAATTGGAACTATAAATAGTCTTGTAACTGTTTAAGAAACTGAATCTGCAATTAAGCCCAGGGGGTTTTCCTTGGCAAATTCTAAATATTTAAGCAAAAAATAAAGCCAACTTTATACAAAATCAGAATAAAAATGAACGTTCTACAACTCAGACTCAAATGCCAAAACCTGACAAGAACATTATGAGAAGTTTATAGGTCAGTATCAGTTATCACCCTAAATGCAAAAATCCTAAACAAACTATTAACAAAGCTAATCTAGCTATATAAAAATAATATATCACTATCCACTTGAGTTTACTCACATTAAAAGAATAAATGGCCAAACTTGTAAATAGTTCCCTAATAATGTCATTTACACAGAAGATTATTTATCTAGAAGTTTAAATATCAAATCGTCTGTACAAAAGAATTGTTCTAAAAGTATTTTATGATAACCTACCTTTAAAATTGGGCCATTTTAATATTTCTATCTTGTATTATGTTACAATTTGATACCAAGATGAGAAATGATAACATCAAGAAAAGAAAGGACTGATATCAGCTTGGTCATTTTCATGTGAAAATCACTCAACATTCATGAAACAAAAGATCATTTAGTATTGACCAGTACTAAGGCTGAGGAAATAAAGTGCAGGCACTGTTCTAGGCACTTGGAAGGCAAATCTTGCTCTCATGGAGCTTACGAGAATGAAAAGACAGGTAGTAAAATAAGTAAACTCATACATATGAATGACAATGAAAAATATAAAGTAGGAAAACAGGATACAGAGTGTCATGAGGGTAGGCTTCACTAAGAAGGTAACATTTGAGAGACCTAAGGAAATGAGAAAGCAAGTCATAAAGGTAGCTGGGAGAAGGACATTCCGGGAAGAGGGAAGAACAAGTAAAAAAAAGCCTGAGATGGGAGCTTGCCTGGTATATTCAAGGATCAGCAAGGAGGCTAGTCTGACTAGACTGGTGAGAACAAAGGGGAAAGTGGTAAGAAATGAAAAATATTACAAGGAGTTCAATCAATGCATAGTTACACAGAACATTAGAAAGACTTTGTCTTTTACACTAAGTGAAATGAGCTACAGAAGGGTTTTTGAGTAGGAATGATCTGACTCATGTTTTAAAAGGATCATTCTCGCTGTTGTGCTAGGAACAGACTACACAGGGCAAGGTGGAAATACTGAGACCAGTTAGAAGTCTACTGCATAAATGGACACAATGAACCTTTTGGAGATGAAAATATCTCCCTCAAGATGGTGGTGGTTTCTTGGTGGTATGCCACTATTAAAGCTCATCAGATTGTATTCTAAATCAGTGGTTCTAAACTGAGAGCAATTTGCCTCACTGGAGACATTTGGTAATGTTGGAGACCTTTTTGATTACAAGTGGGGAAGGGCATTTTTGGCATCTAATAAGCAGAGGCCAGGGATGTTGCAAAACATCCTACAATGCACAGTCAGCCTGCACAACAAGGAAACATTCAGCCCAAAATGTCAATAGTGCTGAGGTTGAGAAACGATAATTTAAATGAATGCAGTTTATGTACATAAATTATATGTCAAGAGAATTTTTATTTTAGTTACTTGCAGAAATACAGGTGAAGGATGGTAGTAGCTTAGACCAGGATGATAGATGAAGTAGTAAGATTCTGAATCTATTTTCAAGGTAAAGCCAACATAATAGCCTGACAGATTAGTTGTGTGGTGTAAGGGAATTGGAGTAGAAAAGGATGACTTCAACTAGAAGGTGTTGCCACCAATAGATAGTTTTCAACCTATTTACTAATGTCATATTCCAAACGTTGATATGAAAACTACTGTAACACCAATCTCAAGCAGTTTAGCTACCAAATATGTGGAATAACGGCCATCTACCGTAAGATATTCACATGCTGCCTGGGAGCGGAGGATAGGTATGTAGGTCAGGACTAGCTCAAAGACTCCAGTGATATCTATACCTCTGTACCTTCTCCACCAGGATCCGGTCTGTCTCTTGCACGCTGGTATCAGGCACTTGCTTGTCCAAGTAACCGACTGGGTACAGCGAGTCTCCCTGGCCACCGCCCCGGTCACTTCGGCCCCTAAAGAAACAAACCAAAAAACGCTGCAGACTCCAACACTTCATATCTCACATTTCCTGTTCTTCTAATCATAGGAGTAAAGATCCTAAGATGTACCTACCCAGATTAGATCAACCCGTCCTGTGGGTTCGTCAGATCCCTGCCTATTGAAAGGACTAAAATAAGCATCCTTTGGGCACAGAAACTACGGCAGAAAGGCTGCTAGCTCCCCAGGAGTAGTCTTTGTGCCACCCATCTTTTTCAGGTTCCATTCCTCTGGGGCAGTTCTAACGTCGAGCTACGCCCAGACTCCTCACCTGCTGCCTCCTCCAGGTCCGCTAAGCTCAATGGCCCATTTGAAGCGCCGGCCTCGGTTGGCCACCAGGCTCCCCTGGGCCGTCATGGCAAAGGCTGCCTACTGAAGCAGCGAAGTTCCTTATTCTAAGGTGTAGCAAAAAGCCAGGTACACTGGCGACCGCGACTTCCGAGTCTCACTCTGCAAGTCCACTTCCGGCGCGTGTGTATGTCCACTTCCGGCGCGTGAGTATAGACGTCATTTTCGCTCCGGAAATTGATGGGAGGTCGAGCAAAGAGCATACTTGGAGGTACAGAGGTGGGTAAAACAGAAAAGGCTGCCGAACCCAAATCTTCCAAAAGCGACTCCAGCGTGTTTCCTTCTTTTTGAAGAGGCCTGTTGTGTGGTCCCTGCCCTCTGAGGTGTGCCTTATGGGGCAGAGGGAAAGGCCATACCGACTCTGCGTTAGGAGTTGAAGCCAAGAAAAGCTTGAACTACGCTCTCCTGGGAACACAAGAATCCAGTCTCGGTTTAAATCCTGGCTTCACGATGAATTGTGTGACCTTGAGAGAATTATTTATTATCTTCCGAGTATTGAATGTCCACTGTGTTCCAGGAGCTTTGCGTTTATTTTATTTAATTCTCATAGTAACCTTGCGAGGTAGACCTATCCCCGTTCTGCGCAAAAGCTAGGAGGCAGTGGATGTGGAAAGGCTTGCGGGCTGGAGATTTAGATGGCCTTTTGAATCTTGGCTTCATTACTTGTGTGACATTGGGCAAGATAAATTCTTTATTTCAAACCTCTTCATATGTAAAAGTTAGATAATCTAGCTACTTTCAAGGCTTGTGAGGTTAAATAAAATGCTCCCCACATAAGCAAGATGGGGTTTTTTAAATGTCATTAAATAGTCTACAACATAATTCGTAGTGATTGAGATTTGTATGCAGTTGTACACCTGTATCATAATTTAACCTATTGGATATTTAATTTGTTTCCCGTTTTATTTTGCCCTTTTATAACCAGTGTTATTGTGAACATCCTTGCATGTCTTTTCTTATTTCGTTAAGTGAGATTCCTAGAGGTGCATTTGCTGGATCAAAGAGTATGCATATTTTTTAAGGAGTTTTCATTTAAAACGCCTGCTAGAAAAAGTACATCAATTTACATTCCACCACCTATAAAATTACAAAAAAAAGAAAAATGGTAGTTTGAAAATAGTGCCCTATCATTTTTAAATTTGTATTTTTTTTTTTTACTCCACGTTATTTGATATGGCCGGGGGTGGCAGGAGAGGGAGGAGTGCTTTGACAGTGATTGGGAGGTAAGGTTGAAAAGAGCCTCCTTGGCCAACTAAAGATGATCCTTGAAGATGATGGTGATGTGGAAATGCTGAAGATTACCACCCCCGCTTTGTTTCCGATTTTAGAAACTGTGTTTATAGAGGACTGGATGAACAAGGCAGGAATGAAAAAGGCATTTTCCCTTCCAATCGATTTTATAACGTTTACCTATCTGATCATAGGAAGACCCAGTTTGTAGATTGCTTTCCTGCTTCTTTCTACTTTCCTGCCTTGATCACATAGTCTCTGATGAACCTTTGAGATTCATCTCAAGCTTCATATGGGCCTTGTCCCTATTGGGCATTCTTCTGTCCCACAGTTTACTGCATAATAGTCCCTACCGCATTGAGTTTTTGGTTGACAACCTCTAAGCACTTACCTCTACCATCCCCCACACCCTAGCCTAAATTCCTTGAGGGTTAATTATCTTTGATTCCACAGCCTATTGCCTTGCACATATAAAGTATTAAATAAATGTTTAGTGAATGTGAGTAAATTAATTGAAAGTAAATATAATACAAAACTGTGAGTATACTAAAATTACATATATGTAAAATAAAACGAAAATTATAAGGGAGGGAATACATTTAAAATGTTTATATTTTATCCTGGGAATGATTTTCATGCAATTTTGTCTGATTTTCTCGTGTTATGCTTTCATACATTTTAAAGGAACACTTTAAAACATTGTTAGTCATTTGAATCATATATTCCTTCCCTCAAAGTATTCCCTTACTTTAAAAAAATTTAATTATAACCTGAATCAAAGTTGCTCTGGCCTACTTTAGAGTAGAGTACTCCAGGTCTTATGTTCTTTTATCCTAGGAATCCTAGTGTTTTTTGCTAAAACGTGTGCCAAAGAACATACTGGGGCTCAACAATGCGGTAGGTACTATTATGCAGTAAATTGTGGGACAGAGGAATTAAGTTCGAGAAATACTGCATAGTACACTCCACATACACCCAGAGATTCTCAGTGCTATTAGTATACCATATTAAAACAATGAGAAATGATTCCATAAAGAATCTCATTTAATATTGTTTCTAATCTACCTGATTTTGTTTTTTCTTATCACACCTCTTAAGGTCCAATGGAATCAGTGTTCCTTAGAACACAATGGGGGCAACTTGCTGTATGCATGCTAGAATTCAGGGGAAATATGAAGGCACTCTATAAAATTGCTTGTTTTTTTAACGTTCTTAGAATATCATTAGAAGTAATCCTTTATAGAATTGGAGTTTTCATTGCAATTAAACTTTTGAGAGTTCGAGTTTGCACAAATTGTGTTTTACAAGAAAAAGTACAGGGAAGACTAGATTCTAATCCTGATTTCAAATGAACTACCTGAGTCACTTTGAGTTAGGAACTCTCTTATCCTTAATCTCTTCATCTATAAAATAAGAGATTTATATTAGATGACTTTTAAAGGTACCTTCTAGTTCTAAAATGTATTTTTTTAAAAGAACACATTTTGCCTATTTTTTCACATACATAGGAAAAAAAGACAACTGATAAACAGATAAAGAAGTAATGGGATTTTAGGTGATTTTAAAAATTGTTCTTTCCCATACTTTTCCTAGTTCTCCGCATTATGCAGGTACCACTTTTGGATTTAGAAAAATATGTCTTTAAATGTAACCATGTGTGGGAATGGATGTTAACTAAACTTATTGTCGGAAATATATACCTATATCAAATCATTATGTTGTATACCTAAAACTACCTTAAATGTCAATTATATCTATATTTAAAATTTTAAAAATATATATAAATTTTTAATGAAATGACATTGGTTAATATAGCATGCTCACCACCCAAAGTCTGGTTTCCATCTGTCACTGTGCATTTGACTCCCTTTACCCATTTTACCCTCTCTCCAACCCTCCTTTATAACATGACATTCTAAACCTAGAAGTGCAATGGTTCTGTCTTGGATTCACAGGGAGCTCACCTTGGGAGCTCTTAAAAAGTACTGATGCCTGGGCCACACCTCTAGAGATTCTAATTCATTCACTTGGGGTGGAACATAGGCATCAGTATTTTTTTTTTTTAATGGATCTCTAGATGATTCTATTGTGCAGCAAGGACTGAAAACCACCGAACTAGAGCATGTCGATGCTTTAAAATAACAAGGTTTGAATTTACACAAAGTAATTTAAGCAAACAATCAATTTTTGAGAGCCTCACTGTATGCCTCCCACTGGACTAAACTTGAATTAGAAAATAATGGGAATACTAAAATTGTAAAAATGTTAAACTTCCCTCATTTTGTAATATTTAGCAAATATGGTTTTAATTAAAGAAACTGTGAGAAGGCACACTATGATTCCATAGGTCATATCAGTTATCTTGATTAACTTTTATTATTTGCGCCACCTACACAGTTTTTGTAATTGTTTTTTGTATCTCACCTGCCACCTCTTTTTAGGAGTTTAAGAAGCTATTTCTAATACTTCATGCCATTCTCTTTATAACAGTTGCATTTAGGTTGAAACTTGAACAAGAATATTTTCAAACAACCAGATTTGCAACACTAGATCCCTCTAAAGGAAAAATGCTTTTATCGATATGTTTTAAGTTTTTAGTTTATGCCATTTAACAATGTCTCTATAATAATTCTATTCAACTATTCTCACTGGTCTAACCAGTTCCCCAGTATGCTCTAACCAGTTCCCCAGTATGCTCTAAAAGCCTTTAAGCCTTTTGGCAGCTTCAGTAAAACGGGCTTCCATTGCAAACCCCCAGTTATTTGTGTTATGTAACTCTACTATAATTGCCTTCTTAAAAGGACTACCTTATACTATTTTATTCCTGATGCAGTTTATTCCACGTCAGTAATGGGATCTTAAGATGAAAAATGTCTTACGTTTTATCTGTTTGCATTTAAACTCCTTTAATGAAAAAAATATATATATTTTTTTTGGTAAGATCCTACCTTGCTAGTTGTTAGGTTTCTGAGTCTTTTCTATGTGGATTACAATTTTTTTCAATTTCTGGTTCATGACTCTGCAGTAATCACGGCACTTTGTCAGCAGTGACACAAACTAGTATGGTACTGGGAGATGTCAGTAATACCATTCTTCCTTAGTGATTAACTTTTTTTTCATTTCAGGAGGACTGTGTGCATTTCACATTTTAACAAGTTCCCATTATAGCACTTCCCTCCAGCACTTGCTTAGGAAGCTGGGAGAATTACCATTCTCACAGATCCCATTAAAGGATAAGAATGAACCATAGCATGAGTCATAATGATATACTACTGATGGCCTAATACTGTTGTTTCAAAATTGGTTACTCTGGATTCATTCTGGTAATTAATTTCACTATCTTGGAAGTGGGCTAAAGTCTGTACATCAAGTATCTGAATGGCCAATCCAGGGCCTTTGTGGCATGCTTTTTTTATGTGTTAATTTTAAAAAGCCTCAAATGGTTCAGATGTAAAGCATTGTTTTGTAGCCTGAGTTTTTTTGGAACGAGTATTATGGCTTGATTGTTTATGTCCTCTCAAAATTCATATTTTGAAGCCCTATCCCCCAATGCAATGGTATTTGAACATGGGGCCTTTGGGAGGCACTTAGGGTTCCATGAGGTCATGAAGGCGGGGCTCCCATAATAGGATTTTTGTCCTTGTGTGAAGAGACAAGAGAGCTTGTTCTCTCACTCGGCCAGTAAAGAAACAGAAGGTGGCTGTCTACAAGCCAGGAAGAGAGCTCTCACCAGGAAACGAATGAGCCAGAACCAGATCTTGGACCCAGCTTCCGGAACTGTGAGAAAATAAAATTCTGTTGTTTCAGCCACCCTGTCTGTGGTATTCTGTTATGGCAGCCCAAGCAGACTAAAACAAGGATGAAATGGGATTCAGAAGACTAGAAGGAGAACAATG